ATATAGAAATCCTTACAGTAAATGGAGAATTACTATTTTTTAGACAAAGAGAAGGGCCTTTTTATCCAACCCTAAGGTTACTTCACAAATGTAAGTCTTGTTAGAAAATATGTATTTGCGGGCACCTGGGTGGCTCAGTGGGTTAAAGCCTCTGCCTTTGGCTCAGGTCATGGTCCCAGTGTCCTGGGATCCAGCCCCACATTGGGCTGTCTGCTCAGCAGGGAGCCTGCTTCCCCATCTCTCTCTCTCTCTGCCTGCCTCTCTGCCTACTTGTGATCTCTGTTGGTCAAATAAATAAATAAAATCTTAAAAAAAAAAAAAAAGAAAATATGTATTTGGGGACATGGAAAGATATAAAAGGAGTTGAAAGTGATTTCTGGAAGTTAACTTATTTATTAATACTAGGTGATAGGGGATATAAAACTAATATGAATCCCCATCTTGTGGTAAATCTTAAAAAATGCAAATTTTCTCATTAGGCATTCCAGAAAGGCCAAGAAAGAACATTCATTCATTGAACAAATATTTATTGAACTTACTACCATGTGTCAGGCTCTGAACTAGCTACTTGAGAATATGACGGGAAGCAAAGGCAGACATTGTTCTTGTCCCTATGAAGCTAACAGTCTAGTTGGAAGAATAGATAACAATTAGATAATTACATATATATACATGTACACATGTATACATGTATACATTCGATAAATACATATATATTCACAAATGGTGATAAGTGCTATGAGCACTTCCTTCTTTTAAATTTGTATCTGGATTTGCCTTGTAGAGATAACTCTGTATAAAGGAAGGGATTGACTAACTGTGGGAGTCCCAGTTACTGTTAGTTGAGTGCCAAGCTCAGGTGTTATGAAATAATGTTTCTTACATACCTACATTATTATTAGATTGAGTACATTACAAAAGAAAATCCAAAGGAGATACAATCCTCATGCACAAGAGGTTTTCAACTGTGAAGTCAAAATTTCTGCTTTTTAAACCAGTATATTTCTGGCATTCCAGCCAAGAGGCAGAAAGGAAGGGAGCAACTGGAGGGCTCTGTTGATGGTAGTAGTAACTAAACCACGTAGATGGGTTTTGGTAAGACAAGATCAATTTTGAGTTACCTGGTAGAACGGAGGTCTGGAGCAGTAAGGCGAGTCTTAAAAGAGGTGAAGCGTTTTATCATTTAGGAAGGATTATTTACAGTTATTTGATTAAGTATTGATTTCCTCAGGTTAAAAAAGTACAATGGAGAGAAACTGAGTCCTGATGCAATGGGAAAAGTTTAAAATGAAAATATGTTGGTGACATTAGGACATTTTGATGACATTAATTCCTTTTTAACTAAAAGAGGACAAAGACAAAATGCTCAAATGTCTTGCATGAATCTAGATTGGATCCTGGTTTGAAAAACAAAATTCAAGCCCTCCTCCCCTGCTTCAAAAGATATAAAACACTTTCTTAGACTCTTGGGGCAAAATTTGAACATGGTTTGGCTAAAGATGATATTGTACAACTAGTGTTAAATTTTTAGGTATGATAATATTGTGGTTATTTAGGAGAATGACTTTATTTTTAGGTGATATGTACTTATGGTGAAGCATTATGTCTGAAATTTCAAATGGTGGAGGACAAAATATGTGTGTAGAAATAGAAAGAGATATAGCAAGTAGAGCAAAGGGTTAATGAACAGTTTTTCAATCTATGTGGATGGTGTCCAAATGTTCATTGAACTATTCTTATGGTTTTCCTCTATGCTAAGACTTTGCATAATAAGTTGGAAGAGAGAAATGTCCCTATTTAATGATATTTTGCTAGGAACCAACCTTTTAGGACATCCTAAAGTTATTGATTTGCAAGAAGCACAGTAATACGGTGGTTAAAAGCATACTTGGAGTTAGGAACACCGGGTTCAATTCCCAGCGCATGTCATTTTTGCCAAGCCACTTAAACAGGTCAAGTCACTTAACTTGCTTAAGCTTTATTGCCTTATCCTTACTTTTTAAAAAATATTTTATTTGTCAGAAGATGAGAGAGAGAGAGAGAGAGATAGAGAGAGAGAGTGCACAAGCAGGGGGTAGCAGCAGGCAGAGGGAGAAGCAGATTCCCGGAGGAGCAAGGAGCCTGGGACTAGATCCCAGGACCCTGAGATCACAACCTGAGCCGACGGCAGACACTTAACCCACTGAGCCACCCAGGCATCCCTATTGCCTTATCTTTAAAATGTATATATTGTCTCTGCATCAGTCTCCATGTTCAGCGCTGAGTCTCCTTGGAATCCTCTCCCTTTCCTTCTCCTTCTCCTTCTCCTCCTCCTCCCCTGTGTGCACTTGCATTCTCTTTCTCTCTCTCTCTCAAATAAATAAATAAAATCTTCAAGAAAAAGGATATATTGTATTATCTCCCAGGGTTGTGAGAATTAAATGAGACTGTGCATATAATTCATCTAACACAATGCTTGGAACACAGTAATGGCTCAACATAAGATAGCCACTGTAGTGATACAGTAATTGTGCAAAAAATGTCCACTACTACTGTGTATTATTGTCCTTGTCATGATCAGGATCATCATCATCATATTATTGAAGGGCAGGTATTAATGAGGATGGAGAACTGGAAAGCAAATTATGTATAAATGTATTCATTCAGGTTCCTTTTTAAAAATAAGATGTTTAAATTTGAATCCATGTTTAATATATGGTCTCGGTAGGAAGAAGACTTACTTGTTCTCTAACTAGTAGGAGGGCTAGTGGTAGGGCATTAAAGTGAATACATTTTAGGGGCACCTGGGTGGTTCAGTGGGTTAAGCCTCTGCCTTCAGCTCAGGTCATGATCCCAGGGTCCTGGGATGGAGCCCTGCATCGGGCTCTGCTTCCCCCCACCCCCCACCTTTCTCTCTGCCTACTTGTGATCTCTCTCTCTCTCTGTTAAATGAATGAATAAAGTATTTTTTAAAAAGTGAATAAATTTTACCAGTTATTACTATTTCTAGAAAACCCCGAGAGGTCTAAAAAGTTGTGAATCCTTCAGGAAGCCTTTACTTCTTAGATTATGAACTATTAGTAGACACACATACACACACAAAAATAAATTTTTTGAGATTACAAAAGGAATTCATGTTCATAGAGAGTTGGAAAATAGAGAAATGAAATCACCTGTATTTCCATTACCTAGAGATAACCATAGCTAGTATATCAGTGTATTTCTTTTTTTTTTTTTAATTTATTTGAGAGAGGGAAAACAAGCAGGGGGAGGGGTAGAGGGAGAAGCAGACTCCCCACTGAGCAGAGAGCCCAGTGCAGGACTTGATCCCAGGACCCTGGGATCATGACCTGAGTTGAAGGCAGAAGGTTAACTGATTGAGCCACCCAGGTACCTCTATTTGCTATGTTGGGTGTATGTATAAACATATATATTTTTTCCTTTTGAAGTTGTGCACTCTGTTAAATAGTTTTTAATTAATAGAGTTTCTTTTTTTTAGGACAGTTGCAGGTTTATAGAAAAATAGAGCAGAAAGTACAGAGTTCCCATATACTTCCTACCCTCCTTCCCTTTTTATTAACATCTTATATTGATATACTGCATTTGTTACTATTGATGAACCAATGTTCTTACATTATTATTAACCAAAGGCCATAGTTTATATTAGGGTTCATTCTTTGCATTGTACATTCTATGGTTTTGCCAAATGCATAATGTTATGTATCCACTGTTACAGTATCACTATGTACAATCATAGTATCATAATATAGTTTCACTGCCCTAAAAATCCTCTGCTCCACCTCTTTGTCCCTTGCTCCTTCCCCTCAACCCCTACCACCCACTGATCTCTTTGGTGTTTTTTTTTTTTAAAGATTTTATTTATTTATTTGACACAGAGAGAGCACAAGTAGGCAGAGCAGCAGGCAGAGGGAGAGGGAGAAGCAGGCTTTCTGCTGAGCAGGGACCCGATGCGGGGCTCGATCCCAGCACCCTGGGATCATGACCTGAGCCAAAGGCAGATGCTTAACACCTGAGCCACCCAGGCGTCCCTGGTGGGTTTTTTTTTTTATTGGTTTTTTTTTTTTAACATTAGTATGAACATTTACCTGAGTATTACATAGTCCCTAAAAATATGGTTCTGTTTTATGTATGTTATACTTAAGTCATTTATTTCTTTATTGTTGGACATTTAGGTTGATTCCAATTTATTTCTATTATAAAGAGTAGTACTGCAATGAATATATTTCTACCTAAGTATATTATGTATCTCTAATTTTTAAAAAAGATTTTATTTATTTATTTGACAGAGAGAGACAAGACAGGGAACACAAGCAGGGGGAGTGGAAGAGGGAGAAGCGGGCTTCCCACTAAGCAGGGAGCCCAACATGGACCTTGATCCCAGGACCCTGCGATCATGACCTGAGGCGAAGGCAGATGCTTAACACCTGAGCCACCCAGGTGGCCCTCTCTAATTTTTTCTTAGGATAAAGTCTTAGAAATAGAATTACTGAGTCAAAGAGTTTGAACCTTTTCAAGGCTGTTGATACATGTTGCCAAGTAGTCCTAAAGAAAGATTGTACCCAATTATAAGCCTTCTAGCAATATATAAGAATGCTAGTTTTCCTACACTCTTGCTAGCACTGGGGATTACTTTTGTTAAAAATATTTACCAATGTGGGGACACCTGGGTGGCTCAGTCGGTTAAGTGGCTGCCTTTGGCTCAGGTCATGATCCCAGGGTCCTACATTCGAGTTACACATAGGGCTCCTTGCTCAGCAGGGAGCCTGCTTCTCCCTCTGCCTGCTGCTCCCCCTGCTTGTGCTCAGCCTCTCTCTCTCTGAGAAAGAAATTAAATCTTTAAAAAAATATTTACCAACTTGATAAGTGAAGGATGGCGCTTTAGTTTTATTTTGCATCTGTCAGAATACTGTAATTTGGGGAAATATTTGTTTATGTCCTTTGCCTTTTTCTATTCAATCATTAGCGTCATTAATTTATGTAATGTATTTCTTTTCTTCCAGATCCTTTTATCCTGCCACACCAGCAAGTTGATAAAGGAGCCATCAAATTTGTACTCAGTGGAGCAAATATCATGTGTCCAGGCTTAACTTCTCCTGGAGCTAAACTTTACCCTGCTGTAGTAGATACAATTGTTGTATCCTTCCCAGACTGTAACTGCTGAAAAAATGTATTCACAGTATTTTTGTCATTACTGAAAGATCTTTTGTTCCAGAGAAGATTAGATGTACTTTTTGGAGGTTACTGTTACTGTTATCTCATCCCTTTCTGGTTACATTTCAAGATGTGGAAAATAATATCTTTTCTTGAGACTAAATTATGTCCCATCTTAGAAGTTAAATGGAAACAAGTAATAAAAGAGTCCCAGCTGCATTGCAGCCCAGTTATGGCCCAGTGTTATCAGGCTCAGGACACAGTATAAAATTTGATTATGGGGGCACCTGGGTGGCTTGGTTGGTTAAGCATCTGCCTTCGGCTCAGGTCACGATCCCAGGATCAAGCCCCGCATGGGGCCCCCTGCTCGGCGGGGAGTCTGCTTCTCTCTCTGCTTCCCCCTCCCCCGCCCTGACCCCCGCAACCTGGCTTGTGCTTTCTCTCTTGCTTGCTCTCTTTCTCTCCAAATAAATAAAATCTTTAAAGAAAATGATAGTAAAACTTGATTATTAATGGAGAGGATATGTATGATATGACTAGATCACTTCTTCGGACATCGGCTTCCTACTTTTACTGTTGGCTTATCCATGTACACTGCAGTAAAAGCACTCAAAAGGGAAAAGAGCTTAAATATCAGGTAGGGTGTTAGAAGTGGGTAGTGGGAAATATGGACAATTCCCAACTTTCATTTTAAAGTTCATTTTTAAGTTGGCTGGGCCTCAGAACATATTTCCTCAAAAAGAAATGTTTAAGTTTCAGGTAGTCCTTAAAACTCAATGATATGGCTGAATAATTGTACATTCTTTTCATTTCTACAGCGGTGGTTAGCTATATTCTAGATTAACTAGGTTTTTGTCAACTATCTGGACAGGAGGATGTCTTGTCATAGATAAAGTGGCCATTTGTTTCAGGTTGAGAAAATACTTGGTAGGAATAGGGAAATCACTGTGGAGTGGGAAGGCTGTTGGAGTGGGTTTAAGAGTGTGTCCTGTACTCGAAAGGACAGTATCCTCTGTTGTGGCAGTTATATTTAAGGGGTAATATAAAGTGTATGTTTATATCTTAGGAACAGCTTATATTCACATAGATACTGGTCACATAATAGGTGCTCAAATATTTTTGGAACGTCCAATGAATGTATGAACTGAAAGTGATGTGGAGAAAATGGAGAATAGTATTCTGTGAGGACAGGGTTTTTTTTTTATGTTTATGATTTTTGTAAGTGTTGTAGATTAGTAGTTCTGGAGTTTCCCTTAAATGGAAAATTTAAAAAGCCTTTGCTTTCTTAACAATTTTTATTTTGAAATAATTTTAGACTTTTAGTTACAAAACTAGTGCAGAAAGATACTGTGTACCCTTGAACATTTACCTTGTAGAATATGTACTGCAGTGTTTAACATTTTATGTTTTTTTAAAGATTTTATTTGAGAGAGAGAGAGAGAGCGTGCGTGAGAGGGCACAGGCGGGGGTAGAGGCAGAGGGAGAGGGAGAAGCAGATTCTGCACTGAGCAGAGAGCCCCCTGTGGGGCTTGATCTCAGGACAACCAGGATCATGACCTGAGCTGAAGGCAGACACTTAACTGATCGAGCCACCCATGCACCCCACCATGTTTAACATTCTAAACGCTTCAAATGATAACCAAGAACATTTTGGTTGTTCTAGAAAGGTTGAAACACTGAGTTCTTAAAGATAGATTGGAGACATAATTATTATTTTAATGTGTCTATTACATAAAACCATCATTCAGTGATTAAAACATTAGAAAAATTCATATTTATTTCACAGTTTTTAATACTTACATGCAAGAAATTTTATCTCCTTTTTTGCATGACTTAATTTTGGCTTTGTTGGCATTGAGTTATAGTGTTAGCATTTAACTTAACAACCAAGAATGATAATTAGATTCATTCATTTATCGTTTATTGAATATTTACCATGAGCCTACAGACTCTATTAGGTCCCTGTCCTCAAGGAGTGTTGATGGTCCGGGTGAGGATACAAGATGGGTTCAAAGTGACTTTTACTAGTAATGTGATCATTGTTTGACACCCCCTCTCTAAGGCATTTTGATGATAAATAGTTTTCTTAGCTGTGTGTTTTCAGGCAATCATGGCAGAAGGAAAACAGCATGCTCTGTGTGTTGGAGTCATGAAGATGTCTGCAGAAGATATGTAAGTCTCATGGTAGTCTCCCCTAAGCTTTTGAGATATGGGTAGCCTACTCAGGAAGCATCAGAATTACAGGTGAAATTTGCTCTCATTCATACCCACATCTTACAAATATTTAAGCACAGAAGCCTCATTTCTGATTTTTCCTTACACTTAAGAAGCCATTGAAACCTATTTTTTTTTTTTAAGATTTTATTCATTCATTTAACAGACAGAGAGCACAAGTAAGCAGAGAGGCAGGCAGAGAGGGCGGGGGGAGGCAGGTTCCCTGCTGAGCAGAGAGCCCAATGCGGGGCTTGATCCCAGGACCCTGAGATCATGATCCGAGCCGAAGGCAGAGGCTTTAACCCACTGAGCCACCCAGGCTCCCCTGAAACCTATTTTCTCTCCCAGATTGCATTCTTTCTTAAGCACTCAGACAAGAACTGTGTGCCAACACAGCTGTTCTATATGTATGTATGTATGTGGTATTTTAGGAACATCTTATTTAGTATGGTTTAAATTGGGTGGGAGGAAAGATGTTTTGCTATTAGTTTCTTTTATTTTTTAATTTAAAAATATTTATTTATTTATTTATTTATTTATTTTGAGAGAGAGAGAAAAAGAAAAGGAGCAAGGGGAGGGACAGAGAGAGGGAGAGAGAGAATCCTTGAGCAGACTTCCCACTGAGCACCAAGCCCGACATGGGGCTCAGTCCCAGGACCCTGAGATCATTACCTGAGCCAAAATCAAGAGTCTGCCACTTAACTGACTGAGCCATCCAGTCGCCCCACTGTTAATTTTTAAACCAGCGACATAGTTCAGTACTACAAGTGTTTATCTTCTCTTTTGATCTGGTGGTATAGAATATTAAGGAAATATTAAAGATATATTACCAAAATATAGTCAATATACTGAAAAACTTTGGAACTCATTTGATGACCAAATTATTCCTATTAATTTTGTTTCACGGTTAAGTATAACACTTTGATGTTCTCCTGGTATGGTGACATCATTACTTTGTTTCTATAGACCAACTAGTTAGATCACTGGAATCACTTTAAGACAGGAACTGCATCAGAGTAATGTAGTTTAATGTAGTCAATAATGTTAATGTAAGTAAATTCCCTATATGTAGCTCAATAATTGCAAAATAGCAATTCATTTTGAATTATATTTACCATAAGTAAGCCTATAAAAATTCATAACAATATGTTTATATGCTTTTTTCCTTCTACAGTGAGAAAGTCAACAAAGGAATTGGCATTGAAAATATCCATTATTTGAATGATGGGCTGTGGCATATGAAGACCTATAAATGAGCCTTGGAAGGAATGCACTTGGCTAAATACGGTTATTGTGCTGTATCTGTGTTTGTGTCTGTGTGTGACAGCATGAAGACAATACCTCTGTGGTTATGCTGAATAAATTCAACAGATGCTAAAGTTCTGTTAGCTTCAAAAATTATTTTAATTTTTCTTAAAGTCAACTTAAAATTGGGTGGCAAACTTGGACATTACGAGGTATCTGGTAAGTAATCAAACTCAGACAACTTGATGTCCTTTCTTAGGCTAATGATGTAAAATGAAGGGCAGGACTTGGTAAATGAACTTGATAGTATATGGCTGACCCCCAGAGACTCTGCCTACTTAATGGGGCTGGAAGATAGACTGGAAATTTTCTCCCATTACTCCCTGAAAATGCCCTTTCTCTTTTGTGTGTTTTTTGTTTGTTTGCTTGTTGTTTTTCAACTTTTCATTATGGAAAATTCCAGACATATATGAAAGTATGTGGGGAATAGTATAATGAACCTTTTCTGTATCCATCACCCAGCTTCAATTCATGGCAAATCTTACTTCATCTGTATCTCATTACTCTTTCCCACTCCACTCCCCAATTATTTTGAAGCAAATCCCAGATATATCATTTTATCTAAACTTTAATGTGTATCTTTACAAGATAAGTGGTTTAAAAAAAACTATCATCACACCTAAACTATCGTTATCACACCTCAAAAATTTAACTGTTTCTTAATATGATCAAATATCTGGTTCAAATATGTGACAAGTGAACTTGATTGCCTCTTTATTTTTTTAACCATTTGTTTGCTTGAAATTGGTCCTGGACAAGGTCCATATATTGCATTTGGTGGTTATTTAAGTCTCTTACGTTAGAAATTCTCCCTTTGTCTTTTCCCCTTTAAATTAATGATTGAAGAAATCTGGTTGTTTTGTCTTACAGAGTTTTCTCCTGCATTCTGGATTTTGTCAGTTGTATCACTGTGAAGTCGTTTAATTTGTTTTTTATGCCCCCCTGTGTAACCCATAAACAGATAGGCTTGATGAGATTCAGGTTGAATTTATTTAGTGCCCTGTCCCAAAGCTGGGGAAACTCGTACTACACAGATGCTCGGAACTTTCAGATTTGCATCCCCACTGTATGCCCCAGAGAACATGTATCTCCTATCATAAGTGTTCTATGAAGGCCATGGACCTATTTCAATAAGAACAGTAAACTGTTTTGGGAATTAAATGAGAATTAAGTGGGAATGTACGTAATGACAGTGGGTATTTCTCAATAACCCTGCTGTTCTAGTGTCTCAGTCATTTTCATTTGGTTGTTTACCAATATATGACATGTGATTTTATTTTTCAGATGGATACAGACATTTACAAGACTGTGGTGACCCGTGTTACAGTTAGAAGTTGGTGAGAAAGGTGAGGGTAGTTAGTAAAAAGAGGCCGTTTGGCTTTTGCAGCTTGGCCCCCAAGATACAACATAGGTGAAGGTTATTGATCCGGGCTCTGACCCTCAGACTGAGAAACTGTTTCCCACTAATGACACTTGTAGGACTTGAGGACTCCCACATTAAAATGTAAATGTGTTAGTTTATAGCGGTATGTCTGCTTAGGGTACACAATTTTAAACAAGAAGTTTTCTTTTCTTTTTTTTTTTTTACCAAGAAGTTTCCTGATGTACATGGATAAGAGTAAAGGAAGGTTGAAATTTGGAGGAATATTTCATCTGGGCTGGCATAAGGCTTAGAGAATTTTTCCTACTTCATCATTAATTAGAATGCTTATGTCTGCCACAATCTTTCTTTCCTAGCCTGTGGAGGAATCCTGATATTTTACTTCCTATATCCTTTTTAAGTTCTATGTAGAATATTTTTCTTCGTCATGACAGTAATATTCTACAACTGAGTATATTTTTATATTTTACTATTTATTCCTGATGGAAAAAAGTGTAAATAGTGTATAAATCATCTTTAAGTGTGGGTTTCTTCAAAAGTCTCATTTTATGCTGACTTACTGGTTTCAAATTCTGATGTCTCTCCACTTGAGGGATGAGGCACCCTATTTGAGGCCTGTAGCACCTTACATTCTTAAAAAGAGAATATCTGAGTCATTGATGTCAAAATCAAACATTGAACTTCTATTTTTGGTGCTAAGTTAATGTTAATTGACCAAGATTGCCTCTAGAGTGTTAGCAATAAAAAAACAAAGCACACACATATTAGAGAAATGAAAACCTTTAATTGCCTGGTTTCTGAAATAATTTATCCTTATTTCTCACCACTGTTAACAGTGGGTGTAGGGAACACTTTAAAAATATTTAACATCATCATCTGTGCTTGTTTTTCCTACTATGCTGAGGTACAGTGACTCTGTTGCCTTGGTGATGTGGACTAAATATATATGTTTTCTTCTTCCCCCTGGGTCTGAGGCCTCAGGTCATGGTGTTAGTCAGGGGTGTCACTCTACATGGGGAGCCTGGTCAGTTTCTCAACATGAGGTCATGCAGAAAAGCCAATTCAAAGAGGTTAAACTAGCGTCTCAGCCTCTTGAGGTCTTACTCTTAAAGGGAACCTAGTCTACCCACATTCCTGAGAGTAGGAATACAGGGAGAGCCTGTTTTCTCTCAGGCAATGTGTCTTCAGTTCATTTTTAGTTTCAAAATTAACTTTGTGTCAAGCCAGCCTACAATCTAGCCATTTCTGTGTATCTGACATACTCAGCCAAGGTCAGTTCAGCTCAATGAATATTTATATATTTTTTAAAGATTTTATTTGTTTAGTTGACAGAGAGAACACAAGCAGGGGGAGAGGGAGAGGCAGAGGGAGAGGGAGAGGGAGAGGGAGAGGGAGAAGCAGGCTCCCCGCTGAGCAGGGAGCCCGATGTGGGACTCCATGCGGGACTCCATCCCAGGACCCTGGGATCATGACCGGAGCCAAAGGCAGACGTTTAACTGACTGAGCCACCCTGGCGCCCCCAACGAATATTTATTAAATACCCGCCAGGTTCTAGGTGATATGGGACAAAGATGAATAATACACAATGGTCTTTGCCCTTAAGGAGCTTCAGGCTAGTGAGTAAATTTACATTAAAAAAAAATCTGGGTAATGGTGATAGCCCAATACCGATTGATAAAGCCACTGGGCAGTTATTAATACTTTTCCAATTTCGGTCACCAAAATTTCAGAATTACACATGAGCTAAATATAAAAATATTCCTTAGATTATATCCAGTGTGAGAAGGTTAAGAACATCCAGATGTCTTGGAGTTGCAAGGATTCAGCATTCCAACTCAGATGGTCGTCCCATTGTGCAGTAATAGAAAGGCCTGATCAGCCCTCTTCTAGGAGACTATTACAGTGGTTTGGTGGTGTTCTGTTAGCAGCTGCATTTTTCCTTTTCCCCTTTTTTTTTTTAATGTTCTGGACCCAAAACAGACGGCTGGATTCATCCCAGGGGTAGTCTTGAACATTTCCAATTCGAGGGATTTGATAGTGCCCAAACAGAAGGTCATATGGCATTTGTCAAATAATGATTATATCCAGCCAAGTTCCTCCTCTGGATACAAATCAGCTACTGAGGATACAGTATTTCTAAGCATAGTAGTTCAAAAAATATAAGAATGGCAAATGACTCAATTTGCACAGGTATTTCATTACAATAAATATTTTACTTTTTATTCATGAGAATATTAATAATGTAGCAATCATCTATTAATGGGAATATGAAATGAATGTGTGTCCAAACAAAATGTGGTAAATATTTTAACTTTGTTTATCTAGGTTCCTTAATTTTGAGACTATATTTCTCAAGGCTCTTCATGAAACTCAAAATGTTCCAATTTCTAAAGGAGTAGCCACTAGAACTGATTTATAATGAAAGGAAAAAAATGAAAATGTATGCATCCTGTGTCAATGTAACCATCACTTCTGAGGTCTCAAGCAATCGGAAACTTACTCAAGTTATAACCTGTAAGAATTAGGCCATTAAAATATATTTGGAAAGCCCTTCAGAACACTTATGTTTAGAATGTTATTGGTTGTATTAAGGCAATAAAAATTAGATTAAATATAATTGTTCTTAATATCCCAGTCTCTCAGCAATAGTTCCTAAAGAAATCATGCCTGTCAGCATGGAGACTAATACATGTAAATGTATACTCTGTATTGTATGTTTTTATATTTTGTATGTATACTTTGTTACCCTCTTTGTAACAGGTAAAAGAATGATTATATATAATGAACTATAACACTAATTTGTTTAATATTATATTAAAATTAATTAAGTACTTGTAAAGGACTACAACTCCATCAGAACAGGAGTGAATGAATGTGATTGAGAACCAGTTTTTAATCTGGAAGACTATTAGGCAGGCAGGTTGGTTGGTTGGTTGGTTTGCTTAAGAGGCGGGCCTCTTGGAGAATATAATTTATGTATGGGAAAACATACAGGAAATGATTCACTGGAATTCTCCTAGTAATATCCCGTTCATCCAAAGTACTTAGTACTATTAATATTTGCCTCTTGGAGTAAAAAAAATGAAAGGACACTCAATCTTATCCTTGAACACTTTGACAGTAAAAGATCCATTAGTGAAATAATTTCTAAATAATACCCTTATTGTTACAGAGAATGACATCCTTCACTATTGTTCAGTTCTAATTAAACAGGTTTTCTTACACATTTTAAAATCTCATTTTAAAAGTAAAACAAATTATGATTTCCATATCCTATTTTTTATTGCTCTTGTTCCATTCCTCAATTTTAAAGTACTTTAATTTCAGCCAGTATGTGAATAGAGGGGACTTTTGGGGCATAATTATTCACTCTCTTCAGGTTCATTGTAAGTTTTCCCAGAACTCTACCATAGGGGGAAATAACTCTCTAAATTTAAAAGATGCAAAGGTTAGTTTTCTTTCCTTCTAATTTTATTTTTTTTTATCACAGGACATGATTGTGAATGATAACTATGAACTTCCATTTAATCTTTGGTGAAATAAGTAAATTCTTTTGATTTTCACAGGTGTATGAGCAAAAGACTTCTAATAAGCAATAAATCATGTAAGCACTTGCTTGGAGGAAGTGCCATTTCTCCAAACATATGCCTTGGAAACAAATCAAATTCAGTTCCCTTTTTGCCTCCGGGAAAGCCATATTGGAGAGACTTTTGAGGTCAGGCAATCTTTTTATTCTCCCCACTCTATTTCAAAAGGGGACACTCTCGGTCTTTGTCACCAAATGCTGGGGTTGTCCTTCTATGCTGATGCATGATGAAACCCTGAGGCTTAGAAATTTGCAAACTAATGAGATGGTTTGTGATGAAAGTGCATGTTGGATTGATACTGCTTAAATCTGAGACAACTTTTAAAAGGAGCTGTGCACTGTCTTCTAGTTTTGCTACCCTATCTGCGGGGCTTGAAATGTGTTTCTGCATACAGATGTCTTAACAAAAATTTTTAGTTTCTCATGATCTGAAAGATTTTGTGTGCACTTCTTGGTCTAAATTCTGTTTTTATCAGGTATAATCCTGATTAACTCATTTTGTAAAGTCAAAATTCACTGTTCACTTAAACATCTGGACTAGATTGGGCAGGATGAGGAGGATGGGAGGAGAGTCCTTTTTGCCCTGTAGGCTCTGGAAGGTTTCTTGGAGAGTTGTCTTATCCAGGATTAGGAAAAATTAGGCTTTTGCCTGACTAAGATATTTCTAAAAGTTGCTTGTGTAAGCATTTTAGATTTCAGAAAGTTCAACCTGAAATGTGAATATAGAGTAGAAACAGTTTCATTTAGTGGGATAACCCGTGTCTCTAGTCCATCAAGTTAGTATGTCTCCTAATTGCTTTCAAAAAGTACAGGACTAGAAAATATTTTTCACTGGCAATGCTTTATTCTGTTTTAAAAAGAGTAGGGGCTAAAGTCTAGTAAAAACTTGGACACTTATACGGTACTTATTTATTTTTTTACTGTACTTATTTTATATTGTGATTTATAAGGTACAAATTTTATATTTTGTAAAATACTTCCAAAAAGTCTATGAAGAAATTCCCCTTTCTTGCTCCCAAATGTGGAAACCTAAGAGAAGGCACATGGCCTCATGAGTTTTTGGGTGTCGTCAAACCCAATTCTCTCTGAACTACCAAATGCCCAGATACATTTACTGGGGATGCAGAAGTCTCACTTAAGCTGTGGTTTTTGCCTGTATAAAGAGAAACATCTTGATTAAAGTGTGAGCAGATAGAAACCATACCGATTTGGGCAGTTTGGGCTCAATAATGTCTAATTTGCTGTGAAAGGGGAACTTGCTCTAGATTAATGTTCTTAAAAGCAACCTCTGAACTTCTCCTAAAGAAATATTTACTTTATAAAAAAGCTGTTTGAGGAAGAGCTGTTTTATTGCATGGCACAGATTAAATGTACAGATGTTATCTTAAAACTTAAGGGAGTTCCCTTATGAACTTGAATATTCAATGCCAGCTGTTATTCTCATCAACATTTTACTATTTTACCATCTAGGTATTTAATAAAAGGGATTGATACATATTTAGCTGTGTAAAGTGTTAGTTGAACTTGTTCATGGGGCTAAGGAAAGGGAAATAACATTCCCTGAGCACCTACTGTATGCACAAGCTCTACGTCCAGTATCTTGCTTCATCTTTAGTATGATTCCATGAGGTACACTTTAATTCTCATTTTATAAATGAGGAAACTAAGGCACCTGAAGGGTTATATAACTTTCCTGAAGGTACATGACTAATAAATGGTAGATTTGGACCTAGCTCTTCCTGACTGCAAGCCCTGTTTTGCAGAAACTCTCCCCTCACATTTCAAAAAATTACCTCATCCCACAGTCGTTTCGCCGTCTTTATTTATGGGTTATTGGAGGGGAGTCTGAGTTGGCCAAGCCTCTGTTCCACAATGGGAAATAGGAGTAGGATTTGAATGTGGTGAGAATGGGCTGCTTGCACGGGGTCTTCTTTGTGCTTCTGAGGGAATGTTTTCCTGTTTCCCTCTTCATCAGTGGGGTATATGGAGAGAATCTTTTGAAATTGGACCCAGTCCTGAGGCCTGAACTTTTTCTATTAGTCATCTACAAGCCAGATGACTTGTGACCATTTAAAGTTTATGCCATTTAGAAAAGGATACGAGGGGGAGGGGTTAGTTAAGTGCGGAGATTATGGGGTATAATGTGCAAGGGCAGGGCTAGCAGCTGCTTTGTGACTATTGATATATCCAAAAGATAAATGGGGGAAAGGAGTATTAAAATATTAAAATTAATGACAGGAGCAGTTTGGTTCAGTTTTAATCTAAGGAGAAAAGCTGAGGGGTCTAATCTCTCTATTGCTCCAGATCCAGTCATTGAATTTTCAGAAGGAAAGTCTAGTGATTAAACTCATGTGAGGAGATGGCCTGGGGCCTACTAAAAGTCAGGTTGTAATTTACATAGCATTCAAGACAACGAGAATAATAAACAGGACTTTTAGGAGGAAATTCAAGTTTTCTGCCATTTCCCGTATGAGCCTTGGGGGTGGGAGTCGGGTGGGGTGGGGTCTTACACTTCTGCAACTGGCTAGACCTGTGCTATAACTCTAAAATACATACTGGTTTTCAAAGACTTAAATAAAAAAGTAATGTGAGCTATCACTAATTTTTTTCTGCTGATTACATGTTGAAGTGACAATACTTTGGATATACTGGGTAAAATAAAATACTAAAAGTAATTACACCTATGCCTTTACTTTTTTAATGTGGCTAGAACATTTAAAACAACAC